AATAGACTTCAAGAGGACTTGGGCGGTACAGTGACTTGAAATGTGGTAAATGTAGTTCAGTCCAGCTAAGTGAAAGGTGATACTTTTTTTTTCTTTATTCATTCACGGGATGAGAGCATTGCTGGGTAGGCAGCATTTATTGCCCATCCCTAATTGCCCAGAGGGCAGTTAAGAGTCAACCACATTGCTGTGGGTCTGCAGTCACATGTAGGCTAGACCAGAAAAGGATGGCTGTTTCCTTTTTTTCCAACAATCAGCAATGGATTCACGGTCTTCGTTAGACTCTTAATTCCAGATATTTTATTGATTTCAAATTCCACCATCTGCCGTGGCAGGATTCGACCCAAGTCCCCAGAATGTTGTCTGGTCTCTGGATTAACAGTTCAGCGATAATACCACTAGGCCATAGCACCCCCTTCCCCCCCACCCACCAAATGTGAAATGAAACAATACATGTCAATTTGGAGAACTTTAAAAGATTTGGATTGTTCTGCTCAGAATAGTGAAGGCTAAGAGAAAATTTGATAGACCTGCTTCAAATTATGATAGTTTAGGTAAAATAGATTAAAAACTGTTTTAATTACTTGAGGGTTGATGACCAGAGGGACAGATTTAAGGTGTTTACAACAGGACAGAGGTGACATAAAGAAATGTTTTTCATAGAATGGGTATCTAGAATTTGGAATACACTGCCTGATAGTACGGTGGATACTGAGTTAATTGCCTTTAAAAGGAAACGTGATAAATACCTAAAGGAGAAACATTTGCAGTAGAATGAGGAAAGAGTGGGAAAGTTAAGCTGACTTGATTGTGAAAGAATCAGCTCAGGCATAAGGGGCTGTGTGATCATCTGTGCTGTAGTAGTTTTATGATTTTTGTGACCCATTCCCACAAGTTCCAAGTTTATTGATTCAGATATTCAGCATCTTTCCCTTTGCTTAGCCCAGCCCTTGATTGTTAAGCCTTTAGCTCACTAATTCCTACTATTGGGAACACTCTTTCCCTAACCTGCATCTTTTTTTTTTTAATGCTTTGTTAAAACCCATCTCTTCAGCCAACTTTCATCTCTTTATTGTCTGTTCTAATTTAGTTTATAAGTTGTTGAGTGCCTGGAGATCATTTTTTGTACTAAATACGTATTGTAGTTGACAATCCAGCTGTCGGGTACTAAATTTCATCTGCAGTCTGTTCTGCCAAAGCATTTTTAATTGAGTGGCAGTTTTTGAATATTTGACAATTATCATTTTGATACTGTGTAAAACTCTCTTTGCCAAACCCCTCCCTTTCCGAGATGCTCCTGCCTATTTGAGTTTCTAATTTTTCATAAAGCTGAAATCGAAAGTTTTGTTGGTGTCTTCTGCAGAGAGTGAAGCATGACTGACCTGACCTAATATGAAGTTTTTAAAATTTTAATAAAACAAACAGTAATTAAGTTGATCATAAACTGAAATTATATTGAAACTTCAGGCTATTGCAATTTTATCACTAAAAATATTGAGTGGGTCCCTGGAGTGTGTAGCAAGGAATCATTTTTCTTGTTTTAAGTACACATTTGTTTGAAATCCTCAACAGCCCCATCCTAATAATCTCACATCCTAATCGTCCATTGATGGGAATATATCAAAATTGAAAATGTGTACATTGATGTGAGATCATCTGGAGGAAGCAGTCAGTTAAGGTCACATTCTGCACAATTATAGCAACTGGAAAGTTCAACATGGGGTATTTTTAAACAATTAAATTTGACTGGTTATTCTGAATAGTAACTAGGAGAATTGGCTTTAGTCCTGTGTATATATAAAATCAAACCCAGCATGTTAAAAACTAAAGCAGATCAATTTCTAAAGAAAAATTCCACTAGTTGTTGAGACCTGATATAGGTGATGAGTCAGGGTGATATCATGTCTCAAATAAAACTTCAGCTAAGATTTTTATATGGAATTCTCCTTAGTGTTTTGACTTGTCCAGACTCCAGATGGTTACAAATGACTGCACAGCATATTTGACTTTGACTGCAGACCCGGAAGTCTGGGTGTGCAAGATTTTAACACAGCTGTGTTGAGTTTATTTCACTACCATATTTGGTAGAATTGCTACTGTAATTTGATTTTTTTTTTTGAGAAATTCCACTTTTCAGACATGCATTCCACTTGAATGCAATTTGATATATGGTACTTGAAAGGGCAGTCAACTAGTTCTTTAATGAACTTCTTATAGTTCTGGTTACTGAACGAACTTGCATCAATTAAACATTTTTTTTTCTGATAGATCAAGCAAATGTTTATTGCAGTAGAGACCACTTGGCTCATTATATTTGAGAAATTTTTGAATGAAAGATTAATTCACTACTATGATAACACTCCTGCCCATAAACTAAAAATTATCAATGTGAAAATATATTTGTGCTCTCTAGATAGAGGTAAGAGTAGAGGACAGTGATCTCGATCAATTATCAAAATCTTTCTTTGCTGCTGTTCGTGTTCTGAAATTTGTTCCCGAGCAGCATTTCAAAATAAACCTTTGCAGCGTGTTTCCAGTACTGGAACTCATTATGGACCCAAAGGCTCTTTGGTCATAATGGTGACTGATAAATGTTCATAGTTGGTTTGTCTGGGGGCACAAGGAGAAATGAATGGCTAGACAGATTGAGTGAGTGGGTGTTTTATTAATAGCAATGTGCAATCTGCAAACACTTTCATTTTGGAAGAGCTGCATATTCAGAAGACTGTGTTGAACAGTGGTTTGAATGTTCAGTCTAATCCAGAGAAGGACATCGCTTGTGAAACTATAAAAAGTAGCTGGATCACTGTTGTATACAAGTTGATGCAGTCATTTTCCTGGCTGAACTAGGGCATAGATCAAAAAATTTAACAGAAATTTCACTAGGTGCAACATCCTCACTTAGCCAGTAAGCAGGTGTTCTTGCTGTAAATATAGTAGCTTCAATCTTTATGATCCATTAAGATTATCATTCCTTAAGGCTCAAGTGTCTGTTCATTTTGGAAGGTTTCATTCTCCCAGCTAATTCTGCCATTTCAAGATTGATATTGGAGGATTTGAGTACATCGATCTTTTTATACATATTGCTATTGATTGTAATAAAAGCATATAGCGTAGGCAGCTTTTCTTAGGGGAAGTAAGATCTAGCTCTCTGGGTTTGTAATTTTTAAAAATCTCATCATGTCAAACATCATGAGAACCACATTGACCCATCTTAAAAACTGACCCTGTTTCTGTATGATGCAAGTTTTTTTTGATGTAGCTGTTGCATATTTAGTACTAGAAATGTTATATCAGAATAACTGTGCATGCATGTGTACACCAGGAAGAGGCCATTCACCCTTTCCAGCCTGTTCTGCCATTGAGTTGGGTTATGCTGGATCTGTATCATTTCTCCATCTGACCAATGTGGTCTGTAATTGCTCATAACCTTTATCTAACACGTGTATCAATATCAGTTTTAAAATCTTAATTGAGCCTCAGGTTTTAAGAGGGAATGGTTTTTAATTTCAATTAGCCTTGATAGTGTGGTATTTCATAACGTTATTCCTGAATGACCAAAACTCTAGTTTAAGGTTATGCCTTTTGTTCTGGACTATCCAAAAGGAAATAGTTGATATAGGTGTTATAGGAGAAATAACATGGTTAGGATAGTGTGTTTTTTTTTATATTTTAAAATCAAAAGTGCACACTGCAAGGAGCTGAAACACAGCTGCCAGAGTTTGTGTAATTACTATACCCCTGTTAAATGAACAGCATTCTTTTATTGTTTGAGGTCAGCTGTACAAGTTTTGTTTGCATTGATCTGCCTTTGACTGCTGAGCATAACTTAAAAAGCAGTAAGTGCAAGATTCTGAAATGAGAGTAAGCTAGTGTAATATAGAAGAAGATTGCAAGAGATTTCTTTAAGCTATCTAAAAGGAAAGAGGGGAATGGACATTGGGCTGCTGGAAAATTAGGCTAGCAAAGTGGTAATAGGAAACAAAGAGCAGAGGAACTGAATAGCTGTTTTGCATCAGTTTTCACAGTGGAAGATAGCAGCAACATACCAGAACTTCAAGGGAGTCAGGGGACATATTTGAGTGTAGTGGCCATCACTAAGGAAAAGGTGCTGGAGAAGCTGAAAGGTCTGAAGGTGGATAAATCACCTGGTCCGGATGGGCTACACCCTAGTTCTGAAGAAGATAGCTGAGGAGACTGTAGAGGCATTGGTGGGGATGATCTTTCAGAAATCACGAGTTCAGGAGGGTACCAGAGGACTGGGAAATGGCTAATGTAACACTCTTGTTTAAGAAGGGACGGAGGCAGAAGACTGGAAACTCTAGGCCAGTTAGCCTGACCTCGGTCATTGGTAAGATTTTGGAGTCCGTTAAGGATGAGATTGCTGAGTACTCGAGAGTGCATGGTTATATAGTGCTGAGTCAGCACAGCTTCATCAAGGAGAGATCATGTCTGACAAATCTATTAGAATTCTTTGAGGAAGTTCACAAAAATGATCCCATGGATGAAGGAGTTCTCATATGAGAAGCGGTTACAGACTCTGGGTCTGTACTCCATGGAATTTAGAGATGAGAGGGGATCTGATTGAAACTTACAGAATACTGAGAAGCCTAGATAGAAGATGGAGAAGATCTTTCCACTTGTAGGAAAGACTAGGACCCGAGGGCACGGCCTCAGTGAAGGGACGACCCTTTAGAACTGAAATAAGAAGGAATTTCTTCAAGTGGTTTATCTGTGGAACTCATTGCTGCAGAGGGCTGGGGAGGCCCGATCATTCTGTCTATTTAAGACAGACCGCTTCTTGATTAGTGAGATGTTTGAGGGTTATGGGGAGAAGGCAAGAGAATGGGACTGAGAAATATATCAGTCGTGATTGAATGACAGATCAGACTTGATGGGCTGAATGGCCTAATTCAGCTCTTGTATCTTATGAATTGGAGGAATTAAGTTTGTGAGCGTTTCATTTCATTTCACCTGATCTAAGAGGAAACGTAGTTCAGAAAACCTGTGATAAAATTACGTTCTGTTCCACTGCAGCAAATGTCTGATTTGGATACCAAGATTCAAGAGAAAGCTATGAAAGTAGATATGGATATCTGTCGGAGGATTGACATCACTGCCAAGCTCTGTGATGTGGCACAGCAGCGAAACTCTGAGGACATGAGCAAAATGTTCCAGGTGAAAGGAAACAACTGTTGTAATTAAGTTAATGTGCATGGAGATAAAGGATTTTGAAATTGACAATTTGAAGATTAATACATTTCATCCAGAAAGTGATTGAAGGTACCAGCTCTCCTGGGTTTAAGGGAATCATCTATTGCAAGAAGTAATCTACAGGGTAATGGGTGAAACATAAAAATTGGTCACCAGTTATATACAAGTTCTACGATTTTAAATTTCATTTGGAGTTTAGAGGGAATAAATCAGCAATATAATTTAATAAACACATGCCTTTCTCACGTAAATAAAAATTTGAATTATTCCAAATTGTTGACAATTTTTTTTTAAAAATTGAAAACTGAGTTAATTAATCTGTTTCAGACCCAGATCCATTAATCATGGAACTGTTGCAGTTGTGCTGTCTGTTTCAGCTATCTCGTTTCATTAGCTTGCCCTTTCCCTATAGCCTTTAAAAAGGAAGTGATTTTGTACACATTTTAATGGATACGAAATTAGTGAAGCCTTCCTCCACTACAGTTGTCCACTTTCCATAGGACAATGTACCTCAATAGGACTGAGGCCAGTGTGACATCTTGATGAGTCCTACCTCAGACGGGTTCTAATGCTTCAGAAATCCCCTCTCACTCATGATTTCTACAACCATACGTTAATCTGTCTTATTTTGCTGCTCCTGTACTCACTAGAAATTACCTTCTTTTTAAATCCAGCTGTTTAACGTTGTTCTTTTCTGAACTTAAGGTGACAACTGTCAGCAAAAAGAAAGAGAAAAAGCCAGCATGTGACGATGAGAGCTCAGAAACTGATGGGGATACCACAAGGCACTCTGATGATGATGTTAGCACATCTCTCAATATAACTGATGAAATGAAGCGAATGCTCAATCAACTGTAAGTAAAGGAGTCTGGTCACATTGTATGAAATTAGTTTATATTTTACAGCTAATAACAAAGTGGTTTTCCTATTGATCTTGTATTAATAACATGGGAAAAGTGGTTAAGAGGAACATCATTTGTGGGTACATTAAAGCCTCTTGAGTTCAGTTAATTTAGTTCCATAGCACTGTATAATTTTGGATTGTATTGTGGGCAGGCTGTGTATGTGGATGGAAGAAAGATAATGTTAAACTCTAAATGCATCAAGACTGCTGCACTCTTAAAAATTCTTTTCTAAATGTGACCAGCACTGCATCATTGATATGGTATATTTTCATGCTACGCTTTTCAGTGGGAAGGGGATCGACATTGGTCTTTTTCTATTCAGTGAATTAACTTCAATCCTTTTGCCCTCTGAACTGAACTGGTGGTACACATGGTCAGTTGAGGAAAATAATTTTAAATCTTGCCATAAATTTACTTTATATACTTTATCTAAACTCTTCATAGAATCATAGAATTGTTATGGGTGCAGAAGGAAGCCGTTCAGCCTATCGTCTCTGCACTGGTTCTATTTCCTAGTGCCAATCTCCTACCTTTTCCCCAGATCCCTGCACACCATTTCTATCCAAATATCATCAGATGCAATCGAATGCTTCAATTGAACCTGGCTCCACCACATTTCCAGGCAATGCATTCTATACTCTTTACTGCTTGCTGTGTGAAAGTCTTTTTCTTGCATGCCACTTTAAATCTATGTCCTCTTGTTCTTTTCTTCCTTTGAGTGAGAACAGCTGTTTCCTACTTACTCGATCCAGCTCACTGATTTTGAAAGCCTTGGTCAAATCTCCTCTCAGCTGCCTTCTCCCCAAGGACAACAGTCCAATTTATTCAATCTTTGTTCTTGATTTCAAAAACCTGTTAAATATCTCTTCAGCTTTGCATGTCCTAAAATCAACAGGTTATGTTCTTTAGTCTTTCTCTAGACTTCTGAATCCCATTATGCCTTGTATTAATCTAGTAATCTCCTCTACACTCAGCCTCTCTAAAAGCCTTGACTCAAAGTAGAGTCTAGCTTGTGATGCAAGATTCCAGCTAGGACCTAACCAGCCTTTTTTACAAAGGTTTTAGCATAACTTCCTTATTTTATAATCTACGTCATATTAAAGCCAAATATCCTGCATGCTTTGTTTAAAACAATTATTCTCGTTTTGTCCTTCCAACTTTTGTGTGTACACCCTCTGGTTTCCTAGTTCTACCATTTTTAGCTTACGTTGCCCCTCCTAACTCATCCTAAAGGAGATCTTTGTGGTGCAGTGGGTAATAGTCCTGCCTTTGAGCCAGACGTTCTGGGTTCAAGTCCCACCCCAGCACTTAATGGCCAAGAAAGATCTACTCATAATTTAGCCAGACAGGTTATCAGTGTCAAATACTTGCCATATGTGGCAATAGCTGGCAGTAAGAACAGGATGTACTCCAGGTCTGCCTAATTATGGGAATAAATTTAGAGGGTCAACTATCATTATTTGAAGTTCCAAATCACAATAGATATAAAAGTGCATTTCCCACAGCAATTTGGACTGACCAAATAAGCTGTTAGACACCACACACCATTCATCCTACCAAATTGTACTCCTTCACACATCTATGTTAATTTTAATTGGCCCTGCAACTGTCCATTTTACAGTCTCTGTTCTGCTGAAGTCTCTTACCATCCTCCTTTCCATGTTTTGTGGCGTCAGACATTGAGATTCTGCCTTATGAAGTACACACAAAGTCAGATTACTAAAATATACCAAAGAGCAAGGATCTCAACACTGACCCCTGAGAACAGCATCATATATGCCCTCCAGTCCTGAAATCATCAGTTCATCACCATTGTCTGCTTTGTGTCCTTTAATCAATTTTGTATTTGTTGCCATTGTTTCTACAATCCTTTTAGGTTTGAATTTTACAGCAATCAATGTAGTATGTGGCCAAATGCTTTGAAAACTCCTGCACGTTACTCTCATCAACTTGGATTAGCTTTTCAAAGTAGTAATGAAGTTAGTCAAACACAATTTTCCTTTAACAAATCTATGCTTACTTTGATTTGTGCCACTTTTTCACGTTAATTTTGTCCCAAATGTTTGAGTTCTAAAGTTTTGCCACGGGTACATTAGGCTGAATGGTTTCTGTCTGCAAAGTTCATCCCCCACACTTTTAAAGT